TTGTTAATGATTTTAAAGTTTCAGGGGATTTTTAAGGATAATTTTAATTGATCGGCCTATTTAAATATTTCTTTTTAATTCGGCTTTTAATTATTGTATTTGTATTGTAGTTTTATGAGGCTGTTAGCCGCCCTGAGTCCCATGAGGAGAAGGGCGGGGTATAAATTAAATTATAAATAAATAAATAAATAAATAAATGCTGGCTGGGTGACTTTGGGCCGATCACTAGGAGGCTGGGAATTCTAGTCCCACCTTAGGCACGAAAGCCTGCTGGGTGACTTTGGACAATCACCAGGAGGCTGGGATTTCTAGTCCTGCCTTTGGCATGAAAACTGGCTGGGTGACTCTGGGTCACCAGGAGACGGTGAGTTCTAGTCCCACCTTAGGTATAAAAGTCAACTGGCTGACCTTGGGCCAGTCACCAGGAGACGGTGAGTTCTAGTTCCTGTCTTAGGCATGAAAGTCAGCTGGGCCACTTTGGGCCAGAGTCTCTCGCTCTCGGCCCAACCCACCTCACACAATTGTAGGAAAACAAGGAAGAACATGTGTTGGATATGTTCACCGCCTTGAATTACTTGTAAAAATAGAAGAGGATGCAAATAAATAAGATAAATAATAAATAAATTTGGGGGGAAGGAAGGTTACATTGCCAAAATCAGGCGGACCGAAGGCAAAAGCCGGGATGAAGCTGGATGAAAATCACTGAATTTTGCTTCCTCGGTATTTCAGTTCAGCAGCAGACGTGGCTGAGATCACAACGATTATGTCCTTCAGACATTCTCAGCTTTAAAATTAGATTTTCACAGCGCCCTGCCGTCTTATATCTGCTCCAATTTATTTTTTAAAGCGCCTTGCTATCCTCTTAAAACCCTCCGGCATTCATCAGATAGGCCGGGAGCATAATGCTCGGAGCAGGATATTAAATCCCTTGGTTGAATTTTAATTCCGAAGACGTCCTGCTGCCTCCGGGAGACGCTTCCCGCGCCCTTCGCTCGGCTTCCCCCCCCCCTCCTGCAGTCAGACGCAACACGTATTTTCTCTTTCTGCAGCCTCCCTCATCTTCATCGTCTGGACCACGAAGACCTTCCATCTCGCCACTTGCCAATCCGTGAGTAAGCAGGCTGCCTCCCCCCCCATTTTTCTTCCTTTCCTTCTTTTAAAGCAGGGGTCTTCAAACTTGGCCACTTTAAGACTTGTGGACTTCAACTCCCAGAATTCCTCAGCCAGCCCTCAGGGAGTTGAAGTCCAGAAGTCTTAAAGTGGCCAAGTTTGAAGGCCCCTACTTTAAAGCCACAAATAAAAAATAATAATAATTACAAGTAGACCCTTGCATCATTGAAATTTTGTTCCTCCCAAGTTTTGGCGGGGGTCTGAAGGAAATTTTATTCAGGTAGTCCTCAACTTACGACCACAATTGAGCCTAAGCGAGAGAGTTGCTAATGTTACGACTTTCCTCGCCACCTCGTTGCTAAGTGAATCCCTGCAGTTGATCAGTTAGTAACCCGGTCGTTAAGCGAATCCGGCTTCTTCCCCATTGACTTGGCTTGTCGCAAGGTCGCCAAAGTGGGGTCACGTGACCTCGGGGACGCTGCGACCGTCGTAAATACGAGTCAGTGGCCAAGCGTCCGAATTTCGATCACGTGGCCGTGGGGAGGCTGCGACGGTCGTTAAGTGTAGAAAGGGATCATAAATCCCTTTTTTTAGTGAGCTTGTAATTTCGAACGGTCATTAAATGGGACTGTCGTAAATCAAGGACTATGTTGGGTTTCCTGCACAGTGACCTTTCCTGTTTTCTCTTTTAGGACTGGCGGGAACTCTGGATCGACGATGCTTTCTGGAGATTCCTCTTTTCCATCCTCCTGCTGGTGATCATGTTCCTGTGGAGACCCTCTGCCAATAATCAAAGGTGCCGGGACTCGAACCCAGGGCAACTGTGTCTGTCCCTTGCCCACTGGGCTCCCGTGTTCCGTGCTCCTCCCTTAAGGAGAGAAAACCTTTCTCCTTCAGAGGAGACGGAGGGTCTCCTTCAAGCCCGGGAGAGAGGGCGGGTCTCCCACGGGGGAGCCCCCAGCCCCGTCTGATGCCCCGGACCCTCCCCACAGATACGCCTTCATGCCGCTGGTGGACGAGGGCAGCGAGCAGGAGGAGGAGGGCGAAGACGAGCAGGTGGTCAACGAAATCTTCGGTAAGGCCCATTTCGGTAAGGCCCGGGGAGGGGGGTGTCTCTTCCGCTCCACGGCCCCAGGACCCCCGTCTCCGGTTCTTAAAGCCTAGGCCGGGTCCTGCTGGTGGGCTAGCCTGGCCCGCCTTTGCTCAAGTGGTCGGCGTGCGCTTGCATGCCTGTGGGTGTGCCACACACACACACACACCCCGCACCCCGTGCATTCCGGCTGATCTCTTGGGATCTCCTTGCGGGAGATGTCTCCGCCAAGGGAAAATATTGCCCCGGATTGAGCTGGCATGTTGGATAGGGGAGGGGGGTGTCTTTGTCCCCCCCCCTCCCACTTTGGTCTCTTTATTTTGCTAATTCTCTCTTTTCTTTTGCCCAGGGATGAAGATGAGGGGGGGCAAGCCGGAGGTCAACGGGATTTTGAAAGGCAACCGAGTGGTAAGAATCTTGGATGGAGATTCTCTTTCTTCTCTTAAATCTTCCTTCGTGTCCCCCTTCTCCTCCTCCTCCTCCTCTTTCTCCTTTTTTCTTCCTCTTTCTCCTTTTCTTCCTTCTTCTCCTTCTCTTCCTCCTCCTCCTCCCCCCCCATCATGGGCTTAAGTTCTTCCCCCTCGTTGTCCTCCAGATGCAGGATGAAGACTTGAAATGGGTTGAAGAAAACATTCCCTCTTCCATGGCTGATGTGTAAGTCTTTTTTTTTTTGTCTGAGATATTTTCCCTGGGTTTGGGTCACTGGGCTCCCAGCAGTTCTAGGCTTTTAGTAGAAGATTGCAGGGATTGTTACGTAAACATTTCAATTCCTGCATTTTAGTCTACAAAAGCTTAGAAGAATCTCGGTGGGTCTTGGTTCTTTTTGGACCACGGCAAGAAAAACTTCCATGAAGTTCGGTACTTCCAGCGTTCAACCCAGCGGAGTTAATCCCATGCCGTAAACCGAGAATTTTTAGAATTTTATTGTCAGCCGCCTTGTGAGTCGTCTTTGTGTGTTTGTAACTCCCGTTCCCTCTCCTTTCTCTTCCAGCATGTTGCCTCCATTGCTGGACTCCGATGAGGTAAACCTGCCATTTTTCATCTTTTCCCCCCAAAGTCCAAATTTATCTAGATATTTGTTCAGTTTCCAGGGGTAGGCAACCTCGGCTCTTTTATGACTCATGGACTTCAACTCCCAGAATTCCCGAGCCAGCACAGCTGGCTCAGGAATTCTGGGAGTTGAAGTCCATGAGTCATAAAAGAGCCGAGGTTGCCTACCCCTGTGTGTAGCCCCTCCCTCTCAGTCAATGACGCTGGTTCACCAGCAGGCTGGCTGGGGGATTCTGGGAATTGAAGTCCACCCATTTTGAAGCAGCCAAGTTTAAGGCATCCAGAGAGTCTTTAAAAGAGGCGATCGAAAGAAGCGGAAAGGCACGGAGGACCCCTGGTGAAGCTGAAATTTAGGAAGGAGCCGTCCGGCTGAAAAGCACAAAAAAAACCTAATTTCTCCTTTTCTCCTTCTTTCCACCTTAGGAAATAGTGACCACAAAGTTTGAAATGTCCAAGATGGAATAAAATTGTCGTTGTGGCCAGTTGCTTCGGCCGCGTTCACTTTCTGACGGGTTTTGTACAAAGGAGGCCTCGGAGACGCCCCTTCTTCTCCTCTTCCTCTTTTTCTTTCTTTTTCCAGCTGGTGGTTGTTTTTTTAAAAACTATATATATATATATATATGGTTTTTATCCATATATGTATATATACATATATACATACATGAGCGTGCACACACATACAAAAATACACACCCCTATACATATATATATATATATATATATATTTGTAAATGGTTATAAAAAAATTATTTTATTACTTTCTGCATTTCTAATCCTGGAGTTTTGGCCGGACAAGGAACTCCTGACCCACCTCCTGGCAGACAGGAAGACGGAGAAGAGCAGAATTCACCTCCCGGCCCAGTTTTGGGAACAGGTGTTTGTTTTTTTTCTGCAATCCGGTGAACATCTGGTGTTCGTTCCCAGCAACCTCGGGAGCTGCCCACAGCAGGTTCTTCACGTGAGGGGAGGGTCGGGTCCGGGTGCGAATCCAGAGCAGAAGAGAGCCCCGTCCAGCGCTGATTTGCAACTCAAGCTTCTCCGTTACAGATTGGACGCTGACCAGGGACTGAAGGTGGTCTCTGTCCATCTTGGTCTGCAGGATGGTGGGCGGGAGAGAGGGAGGTTTGGCCTTGGGAGAGGCGGATAAAATGCCTCTTGTCTGTTCTGAGGGTGTCCAATTTTGCAAGGGAGAAATGGGCCGTGGGCTGCCCACACCTGGCCGTCCTCCATTTGTAGACGAGGGGCACAAGTCCGCCAGAAAGATCCTAATCCCTGGATTACACAGACGTGAGGGTGTGTTTGGGCCAGAGTAACCTCTGACTCCAGATTTAGCAGAATTGAGCTCCGGAAACTTCTTTGAACGGGGACGAAAAGCAGATTTAGTGCCAGAGCTGCCGAGGTGCTACCGTATTAAAAGTACCCACGTGGGTTGTGGGCACTCAGTATTCCCTGACAGGATTGTGGCTCCAGGAGTGGAGCTGTGTTGCCCTCAACGTGGCCTGGTTGCACGTCCGAGACCTTGAGACCAGATTGATTAACTAACGTGGCCTAGCAGGACTGTCTGTTTCATCTTTCCTGGCTATTGGGGGTGATGCGTGACGAAAAAGATCTCTTTTTTTCTTTTTGTATCTCATCCAAAGCATCTTCTAAGTTTACCATCCCCGGCTTTGGTCCCTTCCTGCCTCCCAAGAGATTTGGGGCCCAAAGAGACAACAGTCGACGGGTGTCCGGTCTTCTTCGCCCTTCCAAAATTGCTTTCCAATTCTTCCTCTTTCCAATTTCTGAATTGATCTGCACTGCAGCGATCCTATTGGGAAGCATCTGATGACAGCTTTTTTTCCCTCCATTTGGGATCCAATCTAGAGAACTGGGGTGGGCTGGTAAAGGAGTGGCAGATTAAGTACTTATTAATTTATTTTCAAATTGTGAATATGACTTTGGAGAGAGAAAGCCATGAGTGTTTAATGCAGTAATATTTTTAAAATAAACCACTATCGCACTAATCGGTGTACGTCTCTTGATTTATTTCATCTTTTGCTGAAATGTGGCCTTAGCCGGGAATTCATTAAGCATTGAGCCATTTAGGAATTCTGGGAGTTGAAGTCCACAGGTCAGAAAGGGGCTGTAGTTCCCCTCCCCTGCATTAAATGAACCTTTAGGCTAGATTTTTATCATGCACTTTACTAAAAAGTCATGTGAATCAGAACATGAGAAGATGGAGAACGGGATTCCTTGGATCGGTGGTGGATAAATCGGATCTCTACACTCCGGATCTGTGAACTCAAAGCCTTCTACCCTCTTTGCTCCCACAGATATTTTGGACAAATAAAAGTACAGTAGTCAGTTTCCCTAATAAATAGTTTCCCAAGCTTGACAACTTATTAAGATGTGTGGACTGCAACTCCCAGAATTCCCCAGCCAGTATGCTAATGAACTTTAAAAATAGCTGGACTTCCAGAATGTCCCAGTTGACATGCAATTCCACTTGAAGAGACTTCAGTTCCCAGAATTCTGGGAGTTCCCAGGGAATTCTGGGAGTTGAAGTCCACTCATCTTAAAGTTGACAAGCGCCATCTTCAGGGTCTCTCAGATACTCACTTTCAGGTGGGGGGTCTTTTTTTGAGGGCCAAATGTGACATTGGTGCCATCTCCTGGCTCACATCTTCTACCTGCCACAACCAATCGCACAACCAAACCTCCATTCTCTCTATTAGAAAATGGCGGATGCCAAAGGTACAAAACAGGTAGCCCAGGGGTAGGCAACCTTGGCTCTTTTATGACTCATGGACTTCAACTCCCAGAATTCCTGAGCCAGCTGTGCTGGCTCAGGAATTCTGGGAGTTGAAGTCCATGAGTCATAAAAGAGCCAAGGTTGCCTACCCCTGAGGTAGCCCGTGTACAAAAATACCCATCTTCCAAAGCTGGAAGTTACCCCCCCCTCCAAGTCAAAATGGATCTCTCTTGAGAAACCTGCCCAGTCCAGAGCAGATGTTGCTGCAGCTCCATTCACCACAAGCTTCTTCAAAGGTCAGCAGATGCCACCTGAACAGGTTGATGTCCTGCCTCTTTGGACGGATGATCTTTGAGAAAAGCCAGCCCCATCTTTGCACTGGGAACTACTCCAAGGTGGCTCCCCAGACTTAAATCCAACCTCTCTTCCTGAACTTGTAGCTATCTTCTGGATCTCCTGATCTGGAAGCCGTCTCCGAGCAGATGCAGGCACAGCCCATCCACTTCTTGAAAGTCCAGAAGAAGCTGGTCCAGGTCCTAGGAGCCCCGTTTTTTTCCTGCAGGACTCTCCAGTTTAGTTGATTGCACTGTCCCCGTTCCCCAACATCCTCTACGTGGGAGGGGGCCCCTCGTATTTTAGCATGAGGTGGAAGGATTTGGCAAAGCCGTTGGTCTGGAGACAGGGGGGCTGAGAGAGGGGGAGGAGAGCGGACTGGCACAGCAGCCACACCAGGACTGCAAAGGTGGTGGTCAGGAGTAGCCAGAGGACGGAGGCTCTGCAGAGCTTCTGGGGCTGGGCAGAAGTCTCGGCGGGCAGCTGCAGGTCACATCTGGAGAGAGAAAAGGGGGAGGCGGTTTCAAGCTTGGAATTCAAACTTACTTCCACTAAGTAGAGGTATCCTCGATTGACAACAGTTCATTTAGTGACTGTTCAAAATTACGACGACACTGAAAAAAGGGAGTTATGACCATTTTCCACACTTATGACCATTGCAGCATCCCCGGGGTCACGTGATCAAAATTTGAACGCTTGGCAACTGGCATGTACTTAGGACGGTTGCAGTGTCCCAGGGTCACGTGATCCCCTTTTGCGACCTTCTGACAAGCAAAGACAATGAGGAAGCCGTATTCACTTAACAACAGTGTCACTAACCTAACAACTACACTGATTCATATAACAATTGCAGCAAAAAAAGGTCGTAAAATGGGGCAAAACTCACAACAACTCTCTCACTTAGCAACAGAAATGCTGGGCTCAGTTGTGGTTGTAAGATGAGGACTGCCGTAATCCCAATCCAACAGAATCTTGCTATTGATCTATAACCAGAATGCAGGGATTCCCCAGTTGCATTCCTACAACACAACACAGCCTGGTGACTAAACGAATCCAATTTTTTTCCCCCAATTTGCAGCAGCACGGTGGCTGAAACCGGCTGCGTTCATCGAAACCCTAAATTATTCTCAAAAAGTTCTTAAAAAGCCACTTACTCTTTCTCGATAGTAACCATAATTTCTGCTGGCTGGGAATTTCGCAATGTCGTCTTGGAGATCTAGGAAAAGATTCACAAGAGGGAAACAAAATCAAGCTTTTTTAAAAAAAACAACAACCTTGGAGCTTTTAAAAGCAGCATCCGCTTTTAAAATTTCCTTCTAAAACAGGGAGGTTTTTTGCAGCTGGTTCTAGTGCTTAAGGCACCAGGCTGGAGAGCAGGAGATGGTGAGTTCAAGTCCCGCCTTAGGCATGAAAACCGTCTGGGTGACTTTGGGCCAGTCACCAGGAGATGGGGAATTCTAGTCCTGCCTTAGGGACAAAAGCCAGCTGGGTGACAATGGGCCAGTCCCTCTCAGCCCCACCTCGCAGGGTGATTGTTATGGGGAAAAGATGAGAAGGAAGATATGTTGGATAAGTTCACCGCCTTGAATTATTTGTAAAAATAATGAAGGCAGGATCCAAATAAATAAATAATAATTTAAAGAGAGGGCACTTTCGGCATGCTCAGGAGATCCTTGCCAATTGCCCTTCTGATCTCCCAGGCAGAACTTGCCCACATTCACTTTTGTTTCATTTCTCGTCTGTGGCTGACATGGATCCCATCAGTTTTTGGCAATAAACGTGGGCTGGCCTTACCTGTCGCTCCTTCTCCAGCCACACCTGGCCGGCGATGAGGTTCCGTTTGCCTTTTTTCCTGGACCATCGCTGGACCTTCTGCCTCCGGGGCTGTTCCCCCCTTGCCTGAACCTGCAGAGGGAGCTGCAGCTCCTTGGCCAGTGGGAGCACATCCACATGGGTTACGGAGTCCTGAAAAATGGAGGAAGAGGAGCAGCCTAGCCAAGGTACGCGTGACAGTCGTTAAGTGAGTTTTGCCCCATTTTATGACATTTCTTGCCACGGTTGTTAAGCGAATCACTGCAGTTGTTAAGTTAATAACACGGTTGATAAGTGAATCTGGCTTCCCTTACTGACTTTGCTAGGCAGAGCCAAATGTGATCCTGTGACCCCAGGACGCCGTCATAAGTGTGAGTCAGTTGCTGAGCGTCTGAATTTGGATCACGTGACCACGGGGAGGCTGTGACGGTCGTAAGTGTGAGGAATGGTCATGAGTCACATAGCTCACTTTTTTAAAACGTCGTAACTTTGAACGGTCACTAAACAAACTGCGGTAAGTTGAGGACGGCTTGCATATAGCTTAGTCTATTTAAGTTTGTGTGTTTTATATTCTTTTTAGCTTTTGAAATTGCTGTTTGCATTCGATCATTTCCAGGCTGCTCTGATGGCCAGAGTCGAGATCGGATTCGGTTCAGAATCCTCGCTCTGGTACCGAACT